CAAGCTGGATGGTTTGGCCGTGTTGATTTCATTGTTCTTCTGGACGACATCATCAGCAGCATAAACTTCACTTCTATCTGAAGTTTGTACTGATGATGTTGTTCAGGATGACAATTATCAAATACATATTAATGGTATGTATTAACATGTTTTAATCATTACATATATTTTTAAGCTGAAATTCATATGACACCTGTTGTGACTTTAAGCCCCGGTTAATTATCAATCGAAATACGACTTATACAATCTTACCACTGTGCCAAACCAATGACAATCGACCGATATGAGCAGTCTAGTGTCCCTATTGGTCATTAACACTCCTAGCCCTGCCAGTTCAATCCAGAACATCAATACCAACTTCCGAAATACGAATCATTTATTTCAAACATACTTGATTGATATACAAGCCAAACGGACAGCATCACACCATAAAATAGGAAATGACATTTGTACAAGTTCAAACCAAAAAGTGGTTGTGATTGTGGGAGACCGTAATTAATAAACTGAGTATAATTTAAGAATAGTAAATCGTATTATAATAGTCTATGTGTCAAAATAAAGCTTATAACAAGAGAAATATAGATTTACATAATCTAATTACTGAATACTTATACAATAAGAGCATATATATAATATTAGTCCATGAATAGATCTCAGAAGTTACCTATAATTCATTCTTCACTAGGATATAATAGCACTATTTAATTTCCATTAATATAATCATTAATTGTGAGTAGATGATTAAATAAATACACTTTTCTATTCTAAATCTAATTTAATTAGTTACTTCTATGCACATAAATTTATTCTAATTTTGTGACAAATAAAACAAAACTTTATAGAAAAACTTCTATGTTTTCGATGTATATCCATTAGACATATATCGACTAATTATTCAGTTTACTTATATACCTTAATAAATTAGTAACTAATTCAATAAATTCCGAATCTAATTTTATGTATCTAGTGATATTTTATTCTAATTAAATGAATCATAATTCAATAGTTAAATTCATGAGTCGATTATAAATTAGATCACCATTGAAAATGTGGAAGAACTGGAAGGTCGTTTCGTCCCAGTATGGTATTCCTCAACAGCTCGTGTTCACAATTCTGTACGTAGGACTTGGATACAGGACTTTCGATCTCGCGTGCTAACGCCTAACCTCTAGACCACTGATCCGGTATTTGATAGTGCTAATGTCTAATTTAACTAATCGACGATATTGCTTGACCGTTCTCCATTGTGTGAGGTAGATACTTGCCTTTGTACAATATGGATTAGCTCCACCGGTCACAGTTTCTCACTAGAACTCCACAAACCCCCATTCCGATAATGAACCATAATTATTGTTAATTCATTTATATCCCCTTTAATTATCATTATTGTTGATATCATTACTACCTATAAACACTAGACTATTTGATTACAGAAATAGGTTAAAGCTAATCAGGGTTATCCACCTGAATAAGTTGGAGATTTTTGGTCGACGGCCTATGCTTCACGAGGGATAGGAGGTGTAAATAAGGTTGTAGGGATTGATATAATTTCCTGAAAGCTTCTAAACCAATTTAACAACAGTTAGAAAACTACTGAGAATTAGGGATCGTTAAATAATTATTTATTCATATTTAGGTACTGTTCAACAGTGTGAACTCACTAGTTCACTAGGAATCAAAGATAATTAATTACCTTACGATAAAATAACATTTGGAACCCTTTTAAAAAAGCTTTTCATGATGTAGAAGTAATAGAAAAGTTTCTTTTCTTTGCAAAGACTTTTGTTTCTTTTATCTGAATAAGTGTTGAAAGTTGTTTAATAACCATTGAACACAGAAATGCATGATTATTGTTACAAACCGATCAAAATTTTAAACATGAAATATTACCATTATCATTCAAGAAGTCAATCCAAAGCTACAGTTGTGCATAGGATCATTATGAAAATAATGATCCAATTATTCAAAGAATTCTTCTCATTGATTATAATGGATCTTATACTTCAGGAATCTATAAGTCAGCTATATAACAAATTAGATTTAATCGAAAAGCACCTATTTAACATAAGTTTAATATTTCTTGGCACTTACCTCGATGATACTAATTATATTGAAATGTATACCTCCACAATAAATCAAGTCTGTATTTAATATTACAGCCATGGAAGTCATATCTAATCTGTTCAAGATGCATATTAACTGACTACATTTAAATATATGAGATCAGTTCTAATATCACGCAACATGAATTTGGTTCTTATATTTAGTTCATAAATACTCAAATTCTGACCAGTACTTAAAATAAGATTGACAATTATCATCTAATTTTCATGATGTATAATTTAAATATATCAGATTTTAGAAATGAAATTGATTTCCATACTAATCAGTCATGTAACTTATCTACCTGTTTCTCGCAACAGATTAATGAATGAAATGTTTATATAATACTGAAATATTTGAAAGTATAAATGCAAGAATCTCGCGAGAGAGATCGTGGATGCGCACTGCTGAGGAGTCCCACAATATGACGCTTCCAGGTTTCCGACGGCGGTCTAACATCAATCGATTCATGATCTCAATCAAAAACTGAATAATCTCCACAACCCCTATACTCGTAAAAATTTTATAGTTGAATTCATGAGCCAATTGAATGATTAGCCATAATAAGAAACAGACCACGAACTACTTGAAAGTTTTCTATGATTAAATAATTAATTAAGCTTGACATTTGTTTAGAAAACAGAGAAGGAAAGTATGAACATATTAATATGAATAAATATCGAATCCTCTTGTCAGTGAGCGAGTGAATTGTCAACATTACTATTAAATAAGCTCTATAGTTTCTGCCATTTCATTAATGTTTATGTAACTGATTAACAAATAGAATTAACATCGTCAATACTCAAATTAAATGGTCTTTCTTTATAGGTGATTATTTATACAGTTGGCAAACACCATATACAAACAATGTTATGTAAAAACTTCGCTTACTTATGAGTAGTCAAATGCGTATGCGAAAAGGTAGATTTGTATTGGATGGAATGTCCCAACGGAATACACAAGTTCTAAGAAATGTTATTTCTAAAGATTTGGAAAATCGGCTTTTCAAAACCTCAATATTCACAAAGAGAGTTTCCCTTTGACGTGCATATTTTTAGATACATTGAAATTTGGGCTTGTTTATCTGTGTTTTTTCACTGGTTAAAAATATATTAGTTGATTGATAAAATAGGGAGATTTTTAATGATATACAATACAAATCTTTTCTAGAACACTATATCCATGAAGTGTTTTTAATTGTCATAACAGTTAATTCGGGTCACTTAACTTCTGAATACTATCTATAAGTGACTGAGCATGAATCAATTGGACAGGAAATCATCTTAATAAGTTCACCCTTACTTATTTACTTACGCCTGCTATTCTCAATGAAGCACAGGCCGCCGACCAGCATTCTCACCCTAATAAGGATGAATTATTTTTACCATTTAAATTTCTAAGCCAATAAAATGGAAAAAATTCCATAAAATGAGACCAGATTTTCACATTATCGAATATCATTAATTTGAAAACAGTTTTCACTGTTAACCATTCTCAGTAAGAAATATACTGAAAATAAAAAAGGATTAAACATCTTGTCTGTTCTGGATTTTAGAATTTCTTAACAGTGTACACTAATGAACCTAAACGAGATCAAATTAAAGAGCTGTAAAATACTCAGTCATCAAACGATTGTTCCATGGATAACGTTTTCCAACTTTATTTACATTATATTCGTCATACGACTTGACAGTCTTGTGCTCACCGTCATGTGATATCTCATTTCCGAATTGCTGAAAAATTCTAAAGTAGGATGAGTAAATTATGTTGTGCTCTTCTGAATTTGTTTATCAGTCCATGGTGTTTTGTGATGGGAAGTATCTTTAAACTAAAACAAATATTAACAACTTACTCAACTATATAACGTTAGTTATATACATATAGTTTGCTTTATCATCTTAAAGAGAGAAAGTGGAAAGATTTGGGTAGAACAGTATGAATTCCTTTTATACCATAAGCTCAATTAGTTATTTTTTATAATTGCGTGCTGATCGATTGTAAACGTAGATGCGATCGGATGACGGACCCAAAGTGACATTAAGCGTTCGTTGCGTATTTCACTGATAACCACATACCAAATATGCTAAAAATAAACGTTCTGTTTTATTAATTATGTGAAAGTTATTCATTGTTCCCTATAAAGGGGTTAATTATTGTTTTCCATTTGTTATTTAACATTTAATCGCGATTCAACATGACCTGAATAATTATCAAAAACTAGAAATTACTGAATAGATATTTCATCAAACTAAACACTTTCGTGGAAGTAACTATCTTGAATAAGAGAGCCATAACTGGGTTACTTTTAGTAAGGGCATGGAATATAAAAACAGCCTTATTAAGTGTCAAGATGGTTGGATTAATCAACATTGATGCTTTTCGACAAGCATTTATTGTTATTACTAACTTTGCGAATATTTGTTTAAAGCATAATAAACTAAAACTTCGGTGGAATATTTCTTTGAATGTTGGAAAGTCCAGTAGTTCTCAAAAATTTTACCCAAATCGATGAAGGGAATTGTTAAAGAATCATTATTTTGTATCCTCAAACCTGGCACGTTCTGTTAAATCAAGTAGCATGAAGCGAACACTCTTAATGGATATTTTCCATGGACATACAAAAACATTTTATAACTACCCGCTCTTCTTCCTATTTGTCATATATATATATATATATATATATATATATATATATATATATCCCTCAGAAAATTAAAGTAGATTTGTGACTAATACCGTATGTCGGATAACTAAGTCTGAACATGACCTATAATGTGCACCAATCCGAAAACTGAATGTATCAATTCCTTATCATCTTTTGTATACTGAAAAAGCATCGGTTGAACAATGACCAAATAAGATAGGTCCTAATTCACAATCAATACATAATACAGTATCATACGTCTCTTTCAGAATAAAGATTCAATTCATCAAATAATTTAAGAAAAACAGTTAGTAAATCAATTTTTATTGTGATTGTTACCGTTATTATTGTTCGACTTTAATCAAACAACAAGATTAATAGAAAATTCCTAATTCCATTTTTCATGTTGTTTGGATATGAAAATATATAAGCAAACAAACGAACAAACAAAAACCCCCAGTAATATCAAATAAAACAACAACAAACAAAAAAAGTTGTATAAAATAAGCGAAAAAATAAGCAAATGAATGCAGCTGATAAATGTATATCTATACATGTATGTATTATGAGCATACATGATTGTATAGAAAATTGAAATTTCCTGAGTTCTATATAAAACATTAAACAAAGTGTTCAATGTTCGAAGAAAAAACAACAACAACAATCAATATACATGAAGCGAATGCGTATCATGATTACATGTGCGAAATTAATACTGTACTTTTTATTATTCAAAAAAAAATGCGAAGCAATACAATATATTACTAATATGTATATAATAAGTAACATTGTTATAATTTCATTAAACCACTTTTGGAAATCTTAAAGAAATGAAATAAAATAAAGTTGTTATTGTTTTTTTTTTAATTTTGACTCCCTGTATGCTTGTGCGATGATAATTTATTATATTTTCTTTAGAAAAAGAAAAGTAAATTAGAAGAAACAATATAATTCTAGTATATTTTCTTTTTTTAAAAAAAAGAATATTCATTTTCAAAAACCAAAATCATTAACTTCAACTCGAATTTTAATTTTACTAAAATTAAATTTCATTGACAAATCTTCACAACGTACTAAATGTCCCAAACTACCACGTCTTATAGCCCAATATGGTCGATGAAAACGTTTACAACATAAACGTGCATAACGTTCAGTCCAATAATGTATATGTATAGAATCTGATAATAAATGAGCATTTTCATTACATAATAATGAAAGAAAATGAAAATCTGAATAATATAAATATGGAGAATAACTAACAGTTAATGTACGTATTTCACAATGTGTATCTTTAAATGCTGTATATGCTAATAAACGAATATAATCAGCAAAAAAACATCGTCGAGTTTCATCAACACCAGTTAAAAAAATATTTGGTTGTGTTGTAACACCCATATAATTTCCACTATTATTAAATAACCAAAATATATGTATAAAATTTTCATAGAAATATATAATTTGTAATATTAATCCAGTTAAATTTAAAAAACCTATACTTAATATAGACATATTTACAATAAACGTTGTCTGTAACATACAAATAAATAATTTATTCGATAATTGATAATCATTAATTTGACATATAAATAATGGTGCAAATGGTGTACCTTTATAAATACTAATAATAATAAACGTGAATAAAATAGTACATCCATGAAATACTAATAAAACTATATGTTTAGTTATATATCTTGACCAATAGAAATCAGTATTTTGCCATGCAGCTAAATAAGTATTTAATGACCAATCTGCATGACATGCATGAAAACATGGTAAATCTAATAAACCTGGAGCTGATAAATCAGCATCACCAAAACTTATTGGTATAGCTGGTGAAAGTGTTGGACTATCAATAATACCACCACCTCTAATTGTACCGATTGTTGTAGATTGTTGTTGTGCATGAATTACAGTTGGTGCAGTTGTTTGTGATAGAGCTGATCCACCACCAAATGTTGCAGCAGTTGTACGTCCACTAGTTCCATCATTTTGTACACCATATCCCATTCCAGTCTGAGGATAATATAAACCATTTTGATGTATTATAGGACCTGTTGGAATAGTTGATGTAGGTGATAGAAAAGTTCCAGTTGGTGCACCAACATCAGTTGATGCGGTTGCAAGTGTTTGTAAATAAGCAAGTTCTTGTGTAACAGCTCTTCTAAAACTATGTAATTCAGCACGTACTAAGCATAAATCACGTCTAGCAGTTCGATCTGTAGAGCGATGATATAAGTAATGAGGTATCCACATTGCTATTGCATATATAATTAAAACAAATGGATAACATTCATGCTGTAGACGAATAGTACTAATTTCTTTATTCGTTACTTCTGATCCAGAATGAATTTGACTTGAAGATTTAAAAGAATGTGGTAATGGTTTAACTGTTCCTTGCAGTACTTCCGTAGTCAGCTGTAAACCACATGCACGATCTATAAATGTATTTGTAATTGTGTAATAATCAATTTTATTTTCTTTTGTATCTGGAAGACAACGAGTAACGCCTAGAAGAGCATGCAATAATAAGAGAACTAACGCTTGAATGACAGGGATACATACAGTCAAAATGAGTAAAATCCTATCGATCCAAAAGCTTGTTTTAAATCGTGAATACGTGGTGGCAACAACTCCAGCACTAGTATAAATATCCGGATTAGCATATACATTACGATCTTTAGATCCATGAAGAAATGGTATATCGATTGAAGCCATCAATGTATCATCAGAATATTTCACGATATTTGGATTTTATTTGTGAATAATAAGTAAACCTTCGAAATAGTTATCGGATTTGAAATACTCAGTAAATATACATTTATTGACCAAATGTCGAAGGCAATTTAAATAGGTCCCACATTCAAATAACTCAATTTTTGTAACCGAGAAAGTTCATGGAATCAATTAGTCAGATAACATTAACAATGTTTCTCATGACAACTTTTAACCGTGTTCTTTCAAATTATATTTAAGGAATCCTAACATAATTGAGTTAATGCAACTGTCATATAAACAGAAAATCCTAAAATGAAATAAAAGCACGTTATTTGTATGTCGTGTGGATTTTCCCTACCTTCAGACTCTTAAAATAACTGGATTGGTGAAATCTATTTCATTGACCTCTGTTTTGATTCGCCTATTATATAAGTTTACTGAAATTAACCAATCACATTAAAAATTGAAAATTAGTCAGCAAAACAAGTAATGAGACCTGAGTTACATCCTGCATTTAAGACAATAATGGTTTTACGACCAAAATCTTGTTAATTATTTTTATTTATTTATTTTAACACATAGATATTGGTACAAAGAGGCACCAAATACATATGCGCCACACGAATCCCTTTTGATTTGTGTGAGGGCTGTGATACTGCCTGGGTGCCCAAACCGAAGCAGGTGGTTTTCTTAGGGGGCCACACCCGAGCCTTCGACCTGAAGATCTGATCCACAAGGCAGTGGAGCATCGTGAGGAGATGCAGTCCCATGGTAGCCAGTGACCAAGAAATTGTTTCATACGTCATTGGTCTAACATCCGTTGACTCATGATCTCAATCAAAAATCCAAATTAAGTCTTGTAAAAAATATTATTATAGATATGAAAAATTAAATTTTGAACTTAGACCCTCATAAATTGATCTAATTAATTGGATTCTTCATAGTGTCAGTAATTTTATGTTATTAAACTGATGAGATCATATGACTGGGAGAAAAAGATGAAATGATACAGAAATAAGTCATTATCATCTCATAAAAATTCCTTAAGTAATAATTAAGTTTAGAACTAGAATTAAATTTACAAAGCAACTAAATGATGTGTTATTATGTTAATAAATGCGTATGTGAACTGAGTTTAAGAGAAAAAAACAATCAAACGAGCGTTAGGATAATCATGAAATTGGTATAAAATTGATAGACTAAGAGTAACTGTCTAAGTAAACAATTTGGTAAAGTCCAATATTAACCTAGTAGTTTAAAATTACTACGGTTGCCATGAATCCTGAAATTCTTGCGTTCGACATTTGATGAATTCTTGAGTGTGAACTACTAAGGAATCTCAAATTAGAATGAAACAGACTTTTTTTCAAAAAAAATGCTCAGTTAATTAAATTCACCAGCTTGCATTGATGGTTGATTATTATGTGATAAGATAAAATCAATTCATTTTATTATTTCAAAACCTTATAATCCACACTTACTTATTAAATTACACTTGTTATCCGTCGTGGAGGAGCATAGTCCACTCATCAATATTCTTCATCGAACTCGTATCATTCATTCATTGTTCATAAATTAATTTTTGTAGAGAATGTCTTTGGCTAACTTGTTCTCATTCACTTTCCTTCTTTGTTTTTGTTATGTACCGATAAGAATAATAAATGGTAATTTTTGGGATCCATTTATGGATCAATATTATGAGGGTATTTTTATCGTACAATTGTTATGTAACTAAACTGTTCATATTCATATCCCTCTTATTATGAGTTTTATTTTGACCTATGAACTATTATTATACGGTTTACCATTCTTGAGTTATGGCCTGTCTATTAATTACTACCTCCCTAACTCACAGCCACATTTAGCTAATTCTTGTACAAGTGTTGTTTCATATTTTATGGTACGATGTGGTCTGTCTGGTTGATATATAGACCCAGTATGCTTGAAATAAATGATTCATATTGTAGAGGCTGAGATTGGTGTTCTGGACTAGACAGGAAGCGAGACCAATCTGGACTCTAGGCTGCTCGCACGTGTTTTATGCGTCACTAGTTCGATCGATAATTCACTGCTTTCTGATTGGCGGTATCGTTGAGTTATAAGGTAAACAGGGCATACAGGTCCACAAGTTTTAACAATTGCCGACCGGGATGGGATTCGAACCCACGCAGGGAAACCCCAATGGATTAGCAATTTTGACATGAATAAGTCTAAAGAATGAAATAAAACACAATATAAACAATGTAAATAAATTCACTCATACATAGAAATATACAATTAAAATTTAATATTTACATACAACGGATTTATTAGTAAATAAAATTATCTATTTATTTGTACATTGAAAATTTGTCCAAAATCACAGAATATTATTGTTGATGGGAAATTTTATCGGTTAATTCTATGTATTTGTTAGATGTGGGAATATAAGTAAACAATTAAAGTCTGCCTATGTTGAGTTAAGTAGAAAAATTGAATTGTTTAAGTTTAATTTAAAATGACAGATTTTATTATTATTATTATTATTGTTATTATTATTATTATTATTATTATTAGTAGTAGTAGTAGTAGTAGTAGTATCAGTATTAGTAGTAGTATTAATAGTATAAAGCAAATTTTATACAGGAAATATGTATTTTCTGAAAATCATTTCTCAGTGAAAAGTAACTTTCAACTTAATTATAATTTACTATCAACCCAATTAAACAATTAACTATACATTCAATAATGATTAACTTTAAGAAGAATTATTAATATTGTGGTGAGAATCGGTAGTCAGTAGAGATTATTATTATTGGCTTAATTCAGTAGTATATTTTTGCTATAATAGAGAATTCTCACACAAAGTATTTCAACAAGTTTCCTTTTCTTATTTCTTGATCGACCCTTGCGATAAATATTAAGTGGTAGCCAGTTCGATATAAGTAATTCAGGAATCGATATCTGATTAATGTATATTCCTTTCAATGCATATTGCCAGCAACCACAATGTCTCTGATTGGGCTCTTTTATAACTTGCACAGCGAAAAGTCGAAAACTTTTCACAAACGCACCTGAATAGGTTATGCGACTAATAGGCATAATGTGTTGAAACAAACAAGAAAACAGATAACTTGTAAAAATATCCAGGAAACATGTAACCCATATATTCAAACAGGCCGGCTTGTTGCAGATAACATCGATAGTACTGGTTGGTGTTTAGACTTTATAGAGAAGTCAGGAAAATAACAGGCGGAAACTTTCCTATAGATATACAGTTAATGTGTTCGAACAAGGACTGTATTCTATGGAGTTAATTTCATCTAGGTTTCGGAAGCGAATTAATAAGCTATTCTAGAATACAGCCCAAAAGTGACTATCAAGTCCTGGTTTTTGATGACACGTTGATTGATCTCTTCACTCAGGAGAAGTGAATTTCCTAGTATAATATATTTATTTATTTGTGCTTTTATATTTGTCTTCTGTTTACATCGAACAAAAAGGATAGGACCATCATTTTTTACATGAATGCATACTAAAGTTTAAACATTTTATTGTGGAACCTAAAGGAACAGAACGGCTTATAAATTACCCGTATTCCTATATCCACTGCGATTTAAACAAGGCTTATCAGATCCGTATTCACCAGAAAGTAAATATATATACTTCAGATGAAACAGACTTTAGGATTCTGATAAATAAGATTACAAAGTGATATATATAACTAAAAAGCTATGTAAATATCAACTGACCTCCAAATCTATTCTCTGGTCTATTTTGGAAAATAAGATGTGATATCACGTTTCTACGTAACCTGGAAGTTGAATCACAAAATTTCGTTGCGGGAGAAGGAAATAGTCAATGATAAAATGATTCATATAGTCAGATTGATTATTCACTAGGTGAAAAAGTTTGTACTTCCTCACGGATATCAGCATACCACGAACTATTAAGTCACCTCACAATACGTTTACACGTTTGTATATGAATAAGAATGAATAACTGAGCTATATATTTGCGGGCGATTGAATTAACTTATTAAATAGCTTCAAAATCATTTGAAATCTGTCACGTACAAATAGAGTTGACACACAAATAACAACAATGAAAAGTACCAACAATCCAATTTTATTTCTGTATTTTCAAATAATTGGTTTGTGCTTTGAATATATATCAGTAATCCTTGATTCATTTTGGTCAATATAATTGCCATGAGAACATGTGAATTATTCCTCTAATAAACGTGATATTTTCTATTATCATGTTATATTTAATGCCGCTATTTTATAATGACTATAATAATTATTGAATCAAACTGCTCGAGTTCCATATGGTTCATTCATTTCAAATAAACATTATTATCTTATTAATTTATGCAAGTCATTAATCTATTCAAATACTAACTTATTTTCAAAATAATACAATTAGAATATACTAAAGATTTAATAGTTTAATTCATGAGTCAAATAAAGTAGACCGCCATGGAAAACCTCGAAGCATTGGACGACTGTTTCGTCCTAGTATGGGACTCTTCAACGGCACGCACCCACTGCTGATGGACCTATCAGTCTCGCGCGAGAACACTTATTCACTAGACCACTGGGCCGTCATCCAACGGTGTTAATGTCTAACTTTAACTAATCCACGAAATTGTAAGACACATTCATCATTGTCTCCAGTGAGTTACTATTTCACAACAGACCCGGTTGAACTCAACCGGTCACTGCCTTTCACGAGAACTCCAGGAAATATCTCATGGAGACCGTCACTAATGAGCATAAGATGACTATTATTAGAGGGGGGATTTGTGGATATTATGGAGGACGGTGGCGCCATTTCGTGGATTATTTGAAGTTAGACATTAACACCGTTGGATGCCAGCTCAGTGGTCTGGATGTTAAGCGTTCACGTGAGAGACTGATAGGTCCTGGGTTCGAATCTCGCGTATGAGCACTGCTGAGGAGTCCCATACTAATACGAAACGGCCGTCCATGGCTTCCAGTTTTTCCATGGTGGTTGAAATTCAATTAACTTGTGAATTAAAATATTAGGTTACTATAATATCCACTAAACCGCTCTCTGAATACAAAGGATTATTTCTTCTG